GTACGTCACTGAAACTCATTGGGACACAAAGCCTAAAAGCGTTAGATGTCAGGTGAAATAAATATTCTATGAGTAAACAAATAATCATTGATTATCATCTTCTGCAACAGTATTCAAGAGTGACATTGATTTGGATCCTCAAATCTACACTTCTGAAAACACCAAGGGACAGTCTGAAAAAAATCTACAGTATGAAATTCTGCATAGAAAATTATTTTAAAAACCCATTTATTTATTATTAAAGTCGGATATAATACTTTGATCAAAGGCTTACAGAATAGTAAATGAAGATGTTTTATCTATTGGTGCCATTTGAACAGTGACGTCTGGAAACACAGCCAGGCATTGTATGAATGCAAAGCCTTTTCCCACAAACGTATTTGCAGTAAAATAAAATTAAAACTGAGTTTGTGTGAGATGCCTCTTTACCAAACAAATGTACATACAGTACAAAATATTAATGAAGGTTACGCATTGTTGATGTTTCCCTAAATAAGGACTTAAGAAAAAATGAAAACATTCTAACCCTAAGAAGTAACACTGTTGAGTGAGAAAAGCAGCACTCATAATCTTCTCGGGAACTGACAGATTTTATCCCAGTGAACTTCCTTTTGTCGGATTCCGCGGTCTGGTGAACGCTCTGTATGCTATGTCTTCAGGATGTTGGAATGCCGTTTAGAACAGGTCCGAACCGGGTTGGACATGCGATTGGCGTCAGCACCGAGAAGTTACACCCGCCCGGGGGCAACGAAGACAATTGTACCGATTCGCCTTTGTAGTGTCCTTCAGGTGTGTGGAATGAGGAGACATACTATCGGTCTGGAATGTTTGACTTCCACGTAGTTCGTCATTGTTGATTGGGATGTCGAAATTAGCCACAATAAACTGCCGTTTTTAATACGTTATTGTTGATGGAGGATAATGTTTCATATCAAGCATTTGCTGCATTGCACTCTTAAGACCATTTTTTCATAGTTTATTGCTATAGTAGTTTATAAAGTATCCTCTTTGCCTTCTTAACATTTACATCATAGAGTGTGATGCTCAGTAAAAATGAAACATAGAAACGACTTGAGCTTTCCTAAAGAGACGCAAGTGAAAAACAGTAACACTACAAGCTATTGTAGTTGGGCTCACTGCTCACAGGTGTTCTAATGAATCTGATGTATTCATTCACAGTTCACGTTGCTGAGAACTACTGGCGTGTTTGTACTTATTAAGGAAGTATTGCTATTTAAGCTAAACAATAGAATACTCTAAAATCATTGGCTTGTGCTCTGCAAAAGGAGATAAAATAAACTTCGATAACCTCGTAGATAAACGATTCGTTTATTGTCTTACAACTTTGTCTTTGGAATACCAAAGGGAAAATTAGGATTTACTCGTCTATGCTACGTTGACGAAATCATTTAGATTTTGTTCCGTGAACTAGAACTCCCGAGGCCCTCTGAACCCCTTGTCAGCGCAATTTGAAATAAATCCACTAGATGGCACTCTAAGTCAATAGCAAAACGAGAGGACGCAGCTGCAGCAAAAGAGAAAAGTGCATCATAAACGTTTTAGTCCCATTGATTTGTGCAAAACAATTTGTGGATGCTCTAAATATGTTCTAGCAAATACGTTCTGCGACTCACTTTAGAAGTTAAAAGGGAAAATGTGTGTGATCCGATCACTGAAGGTACTGCTTTTTTCAACTTCCCAATAGTATTTTTGTAATTTAGACTCCTAATCAACGTACTGTAAAAGTTGCCCAAACCAGTATAATTGGTTTTTTTGGTTCGTGTAAAGTGCTAAAGTGCGAAAATGTCAAGTTCCGTTAGTTTACAATTAATGTTTACATCTTGACGTCGAATGACACATTCTCTGATACATAATGAACAGAGGATAAATAAGCGGCATTACTGCCCTGTGGAGTACTACGTGTGTTGTACTGTACCATGAGTATTATGGCAATCGTTATGTATATGTGTGGATATCTGAATGCTTGTGAAAGCTTTTCAACATAGAAGTGTTCATTGGAAATCCAGGTTTGGAATGTAGAAAATGAGCTTTGCCTCAGGTTTGCATATTTAGACCTCGGAAGAGGAATATGAACCTAGCTGTGTAAGGAGGTGGGAGACCTTGTTCCGTTGTTCCATTGTACAGTACGTTCCATTTATTACTGTTGCATTTATTATGGGTGAAAATTATTTTCTGATTAAAAACAAATGGTATTAGACTCAGTGGGTCAATTGCAGGGAACTGAGAGCGGGATGCTAGCTGGAACTGAAGCCGTGGTCTACCTTGAGACTAATTACAACGAGCTTAGCCGCTGAAGTTAGTGTTCAGCTCCGTACTAAACCTGTTCTCAATTGCAACGATCCCAAAGTAACAGGCACTGCCCTCTAGAGGTGACTGAAGTAGGGGACAAACTAAAACCACCTCCTGAATTCTTTTCAGATTTCACTAAAATTACTTTCCAGACACACCATTGTGAGGCACAATGAAGTGTATTAATATACGTGTTGATTAATAAAAGTGTAATGTATTACAAATGAAGTTCAGTGTCTATCTGTATTAGTAGCTGTATGAGGCTTAAGTATGCGATAGTGAATGTTTAGATATCCTGAAGAGCAAAGAGAGCTGAAATTAAGGAAATGCATATTTAAATAGAGTCTTAAATGTATCCTGTCACGTCTGAGTGTTAATTGAACAGGCCTATTGTATTTTTATTGTGATGGGACTCTACACTTGTGTTTCTCACACGAAAGGGGTTATGGGGATTTAGGAGTGCAGAGAATAATTGTGTAAGCAAATACATGGGTACGTTAAAGAAAAAAACATCGTTATCTTTTTAAAAGTGATTATTTAAGGCAGTTCTTGGGAACAGTGTCCCATCTCTTATCCATGGCTATGGTCCAATAACATCGGTGCTGAAACCGAGAGTGCGGAGTGTCTCGGAGACGGAACTGGAGGCTCATCCAGTCGAGGAAGGCTGTGGAGGACCGCACACGCCACAGCGACACTGCTGGTCCTTATGGACTGGTACGCAGACAGAATGAGAGACAAGCAAAACGCTATTTTAAAATTTCAAAAGCTCACAAGGTCAGGGGAACAGCAAACGGAAATGACCTGAACGTTTTGTTACAAAAGTCTCCAAAGTTTACCTTTTTAGAGCTGCAAGTACAATTTGTTATCTTCTTGTAGATGAGACCCACTCCCTTGTACCAGCACCTTATATTAATGCTAGAGTAACAGAATTGCTAACTCTATTGGACATTAGCTGGTGCTTTTTCTAACGATCTGCTAACTCCATTGTAAGAATTATGCGGTACATGGCTTTGTCAGTCATTGTTAAACATACCTGTAACGTACAGTACTTATCTGAGTGCATAAGTATTACATTTATACACAAATGTAGCCTTTTTGAAGGATCTCCGTGTGAATCTATTTAATTTATCAATGGAAACAGAAGCCGCTATATAATCAAACCGGCAGCTGCTGGTCTCGTTTGCTTTCTAATTGCAATTCAGTATCGAATTAGCACTTCAGTACTCTTACCGCTATATTTTAATATAAATGCCTTTCTTAAATTAAAAATAACAAGGTCTTTTTCCACATTACCAAGATGTTGCTGAACACTTCTGAGATCAAATTCAGAGATCTTCTTGATGTCTGTCAAGATCAGTTACATCGGAAATTGTGTCTTCAAATTAAGGCGCGGTTTAGGAAAGAAGCAAATACGATGACGTTTCATTAAGGAAACTTTAAATATCTTCCTATTAGTAAGAAAGCTATTTATTGGAACTACTGGATGGATTCGAACTCGGTACTGACATCTAGTGGTCAATAACAAATTAGTGCCTTCGTTTCTTCCATAAATAGCAGGCGATACAGTAAAAATACAGGAGGAGACACCAGATAGCCCACTTAACACCTCAAAAGATAATATTTTAACTTGACAATTCCAAATGTTAATAATAATGCTTTATAAATAAGTAGTGGCACATAGCGTTGTCAGTCATTGTTCAACTTACCTGTAAAGTACTTATCTGAGTGGCTTGTGCTACTGCCAGTCAAATTTGAGGTTGGATTCTGGACTGCTGTACCTTCTGTGAATTCCAGCTTCCTCCCACCCAGGACTCGATGGCTAGATGAACAAGGTCTAGGTCTTTAAATTGTGGGTATCCTGCATTGGACAGCTGTTTGGTCCAGAGTGTTGTCCTGCTTTGTTCCTTATGCCTACCAGCTTAAACTCTGGCCCGCCAAAACCCTCTAATAATAAAGCAGGTAACACAAATGGTGAATGGAAGTTTCAAATGCGAAATCAAAGCTTAGTTCAACATTTGCAGTGTGCATCACTGAACACAGTGAATTTAGTATTCATATATTGCAAGCTAGAAACTGAGGTAAGCCATTAAAGTGAAATTACACCTGTGGAAAGCTCTCTTTCTGATGTGTTATGGATTGTTTACATCTAATAGTGTTGAATCAAGAATATTTGTTTTGTAGAACAAACTATAGCAGTAGTGTATCAAAGCCACCCTCTGAGGAGCTTAATGATTCATGTACTTAACATCTGAAGTAACAATTTTAAAGGATTTAAGGTATTTACACGAATTCATTGCAGTAGGTACCAGGATTATAGCTTAGCTAAATTGAAATTCTCTTTGATTCTAGATTTATTTTACTAAATCAGTTTGGCCTAGTTCTTTACATGTTATATGTGATTATGTGTCTGTGGTACAATCAGTTCATGCACTTGTGTTTTGTTAAACTTTGCATTTGTAGAAAGTGCTGCCTTTTATTTGTTAATGAAATGCACCTTTCTGGAAACGCACTGAAGGACAACAGTGTGCAGTAAAACAGCTGAACAGTGTGTTTTCTTTGGCCCCAGAGGCTCAATGGGGAACTCATCTGTCATTTGTTTCTGTCATATTTCATTGTCTCTGTGGTTTAGCGAATTGACCATGTGACTCCAGCAGCTGAGCTTTTTGTGATATTTATCTGCTGCCCTCTGTGAATGGCAGGATCAGGGTCATAGGAGAGGAAACAGAATTTTCTAACTCTTCACTATTGTGTTGTTGTCTATAAAACATGAAAACCATGGCTTATGTTTAATGTGGGTCTTACATTTTTATTTGGAGTCACAAAAATACTAGAAGGAAAAGGAATGGATGAAATAGAGGATTCCAATTCAAAGGTAATGTTTTAAAATGTTTTTTAAGAACTCATCAATTTCTTGTATGGTATTTCTCAATATTCTTTTTATATGTACTATAATCTTTGGATGCTTCCCCAAATGTTTAGTACTGAACATTAATGCTCTTAAAACCTGCACAATGTTAGCCCAGTGTTAGGTTCTTTTCAGGTAATATTCAGTTTTCATCAGTTTCCAAGTCCCCTCCTGCATGCAAAGTGATTTGGAAATCTTCTGAATGAAAAGCAGTTTATGAACATTGAAATCAGAAACAATAAATGTTTTAATTGTGCTCCAATTTATTAGAGCAAACACTTAACATTTGTTTACATTTTGGTAGCTTGTAGCACTGTTAGTGGTCATCTTGCTGTAAAACTGCCAAGTAATCCAGACTGCAAGACAACTGCAAGCACACCTTGAGTCCCAGACAAATAACCACTTTCATTTTTTTGGACATACTAAACGAGTGATTTAGGCATGGTAAACTATTTCAGTTTTCACCAGAGAATGCAGACAAACGATAGCAATATAGACAATATGAATAGAAACTGAGATGTGAAAAAGATCCTAGAAATACTGTCCAACCCTTTTTTCCAGTTCCTTCAATGTATAGTCTGTGATTGCATTTCTGACCGCATAATGAAATTAATACTTCCCAAAGTTGTACTTCTCTCACTCTAGTTCACCTTAATTCTCACACGCATGCAGTAGGATGAACAAAACATCCAATTCTCTCCTGCATTGGACAAAATGAAAGGAAAACTCACTGTGCTTTTTTTCTTATCCACAGCAGAAGTAAACTGGCTGCGAATGTTGTTGTTGCTTTCAGGGAACACTGGAAAAGAATACTGATGAGCTAGACGGAAGTGGGATTAGCTTCGGGAAAAGGAAGGGAGTGAGAGTAAGTGGGAAGTACTTGTCTCCCATGGACTGGGAGAGAGGGGCATCCTCTCCAGCCTCCGAGCTGCCCTCTGCACGCAGGCAGCAGCCAACAGCGCCCCCTGGAGCCCTGGCTCCTCCCCTGCAGGAGGCCAGCTTTCAGGACGAAGGCAGAGCTGGGGCTGTGCGAGCAGATTGCAAGCTCAGTGACGACTGGAGAGGGGAAGAGGGGAGAACTGGGACCCCCTGTTCGGATCCAGGAATTTCTAAGCAAACCTTAGAAGAACTGAAAAATCTCTTGAGGGAGAGTTCTCTGCTGAGCGCCCGAGGCAAGGAAATTGGCAAGCAGGGCAGTGCTTATTCTTACTTATGTGCAATAAAGCCCGGAGGCAGGCTGAAAGAAGGCCCGGTCAGGCCTTTCACCACTTTCAAGCCCCACTCGGAGGGATCCCAGAGGACGCCCAAGCCAGCGGAGGGTCTTCCCCAGCCTAAATCTAACCATGATACGCCTGACTCCAGCAGGCCTGAAGCTAGCAGCTCAAAGCCAGTCGACTCCAGGCATCCAGCAAATAACTCTGGAATGAAAACAGACAACAGTGTTGGGAATATGACTGAAACTGGTTAGCTGGTTAACTGTTACTATAAATATAATGACTTGTTGCTTAAAATATTTCACACAACAGTCCAAGAAACATTAAATCAGACCTCCCTGCTTTAAAGTTTTACATTATATTAAAAAGGAATAATGAAAACTTCAGTATACTACTCTTTCTCTTGGACTCATGTAGTAGAAATCATAGATGTTGTTGAAGTGTATGATACTGAGAGTGACGCATATTATGTAGGAAGCAGTTATAACCTAAAACATTACAGGCTAAATTATTCATTGGATTATAACATTTAACAAAAGCTGTATGGTGAAATGAAATCCTTCTCTAAAATGGTCTTACAGATAACATAAAGGATCCAAACATGGAGACGAACGGATATCAAAGTGCTTTGCACTTCACTGCAGGCATTGAGCACATCAAACAGCAGATTGCAAGAGAGGAAATTAGCTTCGTCCGTTTCGAAGCCACGGACCTGCACGGTGTCTCACGGTCCAAGACTGTCCCGGCTCGGTTCTTCCAGGTAAACGGCTCTCGCAAGTGCTAGCTGACGAGCCGGGTTTTGCAGCCTTTGTGAAACACATGTTTTTCCTTTGCTTTCTTCAATGACTCTGTTTAATATTGTGTTGTTTTATTTGCCAATTAATCTACTTTAATTAACATTATTAATTTAATTAAAATAGAAAAGTTTTATTTGGAACTACACTGTTACTTAGCTGAAGGTGTACGCAACTAGAGCATGTAGTGCTTTGTGAAATCACATCAATCTACTGCCAGACTCTCTCACACATTACTACTGAATTTACGATAGGCCACAGGTCACTTGTGCTCTTTATTTAGGAGACAGAACAGGCAAAAAACTGCACAGGGGCCCGGTCATACTGAAGGGACTACCTGAAACACATCCTACAGAGTGCACAATTAATTAATGCAGTTAAATTGCATTTTTAGTCCAAAGGATCCAAGTGTGATTTACATATAGTGGACCTACTTCATCCACTTCATCACCTCATCACCCCACTGCACAGCAGACCAGGTGATTAAGTCAGAAATTGCGTCACCTATGAAAGCTAAGTACTGTAGGTGAACTAGGCAAGATTGTGTAGAAGTTAAGAAGCAGGAGTTAACACCCCTACTCTTATGAAATGTGTCAAGCGATCTTTAGTTACCACACTCTCACAGCCTTGGTTCAATGTCTTATCCAAAGGGTTGCACATCTAAAGCACAATGTCCCTAGTCACTATAGTGGAACGTCGGTTTCGGGAATTCTGTCCCTGAAGAAAGAGTGCCACGTACTGGTCCTAGAGTTCCCCTTTCCCATTACTGAACAAGTCCAGCACTGTACATCTTCTGAGATCTGACAAACTGGGCTATAAGGTCCTAATGCTACAATCTGCTGTCCAGCGAGGTTAATATTAACCCAATAAGGATTTGTGGCATATGCTTCATTTTGTGCTTGGCTATATTAATACCTGCTCATTTTTGTAAGACAGTTCATTGTTTGTTTTATATTTCTGTACTTAAAATGAACCTGTGTTTCTGGAAACAATATCTGCGTGTATTCTTTACTGTGCAGGAAAAAGCTATATATGGTGTTTCAATGCCAAGGAGCTATCTGGAACTGACCCTGAGCCCTAAAGACAATGAAGTGGACCACATCAGTGCTGCCAGCTTCAACGGGGATGTGCTCCTCATCCCTGATCTTCCTACCTTTCGCATCCTTCCCTGGTCAGAGAGAACAGCCCGAGTGATCTGCGACTCATGTGCTCTCAATGGCAATCCACTGAGCACGTCCCCGCGACACGTAGCAAAACAGCTTCTAAACCAGCTGAGAGCCATGGGGCTATCCTTGCATTCGTCTTTCACTTACGAGTGTTGCATTTTTGGCTTCCCCGAGAAAATAAATTCAAAAACTCTGTTCTTCCCAGCCGCAACCTTGCTGAGCAACCATGACCTCCCGTTCTTTCAGCAGCTCATCGACGGCATGTACTTCATGGGAGCCGATGTTGAGAGCTTCGCTTCTGCCAGTGGGCCTGGACAAATGGAGATCTCCTTTCAGCCGGAGTTTGGGATCAGTGCCGCTGACAGTGCGTTTACTTTCAGAACTGGCATCAAAGAGATGGCCAAACGGCATGGCTTTATTGCAAGCTTCTTCACAAATGATGGGTTCTACAACTCGGGCATCTTCTCCCACAGTCTCTGGGATGTCAACGGCAAGAGGAATCTCTTGCAGGCTGGTGGTGCCGAACTGTCGGAAATCGGCAAGAAGTGGTTAGCTGGGCTGCTGTATCATTCGGCGGCTCTGAGCTGCCTGATGGCCCCGGGCATCAGTTGTCGCCATCAGATTTCTAAGGATGCCAAGGACCCCAAGCAGGCGGTGTACGTGACATGGGGATGCAATGACAACAGCTGTGCCTTCAATGTGAAATGCCACGGTGGAAAAGGCACACGTGTAGATAACAAGCTGGGCTCAGCCACTGCGAACCCCTACCTTGTGCTTGCTGGGACCGTGGCGGCAGGCTTAGACGGAATCAGGCGGAATCTCGCCGTCGACAGCGGCCCCAACGGAGCTCCGGCTCAACAGCCGCCGAAGCGCTTTGCTGTTCCCTTGAAGCTGGAAGACGCCTTGGCTGCCCTCGAGGAAGACCACATCATCAGAGGAGCCCTAGGCGATGTCTTTGTTCAATATTTCATAGCTATGAAGCGGTATGAGATAGAAACAAAAGAACTAGACGCCGAGAGAAATAAATACTTAGAATACTTCATTTAGGACTCACACCGAGCACCGGTGAGCAGCAAGATCCACAATTCAAGCCTGCTGCATCAACCAGCCCCAGTCGTGAGTTAAGAAGAGCTGATCTCTCGAAACAAGTTGCCCATTTCAGAGATGACAAAGCTGGGATTTCTTCTTATTACATGCAAATTAAGTTACTGAAAAAGTGCATGAGAACAATATTTATTTAAATTTATAATACTATTATTTACTTTTATAGATGGCTTCATAATCATTTCACCTTATAATGTTTGTTTTTTTAAATAAGGCTCACACTTGATTTCCATTTTTATGTGCTCTCTAACAATAAATTTCAGATCTCACTTATGGATTGCTAGTTGTATTTGTATTGAGACCAAGAGCTGGATATTTACTCATGTCACGTCACTGTTCTTCTGTGATTTCTTTTCCCTCTCAGTATCGATTTATAGTACTGCATGACATTCAGATTGAATTATGAAATTTGTTACAAAACAGTGAATTAGCTTTCATTGTATGTGCAGCATATCTATGCAGAAAAAAGTTGACCATGCAGCAATGCCAATGTCAGTTAAATTATTGAGTCTTTATTGAAAAGAAAAAACACCTTTCAAGTTATGATTGGAAAACAATAACCTTGTAAAATACATGTGCCTTTTGCTTGACATACCAAACATTAATCTATTTCTACATCATGCAGGCTTATACTAATATCCGATTTGCAGGTTTATGTGTAATGTTCACAGACATAGTTTAGAAGTTTCATTACACCAATTAGAAAAGCCGCTCGATTTCTTTGTACAGTACCTTACACCATGAGAGTAAAACATAACTAATCCCTTGCATTTCAAACCCAAACAAGCAGAACAATGACCCCTGTCTCATCGGGGATACGGGAGAATTAATCCTGACTGTATGACTCTTGGAGATATGCTGCATTTGTCTTCAGGTTCACCTACAGTTTATCCCTGACGGTCCTTGAACTCCATTGTGTCACCTTGAAATATACAAATATGAAATTAGAGCAAAAAGAGCGTTAAAGCGAAAGCGAAAGAGTTTTTCAGTTTACCCTGTTTTTTTCTTTGGGTCTCTCACACGAGAGCAGGGCTCAGGTGAGCTTTTCATCCTAAAGTGTAATAAACAGAATGCGGTACTTCCGAACCCACATCCTACCTCCCTTAACTGCAAACCGCCCTACAGGATCTATCATTTTTGTTTATCAATAGATTTTCCCGGAAGGTTACCGTATATTCAGAAGAAGCTTCTGTCTTAATAGACCTCTTCGATTATTTTTAAAATGGATTTCTCAGTGGTGGCGCAGTTGTCAGTGCTCCTGGGGCTGTGGAGATTGTGTGCTCTCCCTTTGTTTGCATGTGTTTCGTCCGGGTTGCTCCAGTTTCCTCCCACAGTCCAAAAACATGCTGCTTGCATAACTGACTTCTGTAAAATTGGCTCCTGTGTGAGTGTGTGGGTGTCTGTGTTTGTGTCTGTCTATCCTGCGATGGACTGGCATCCCAGCCTGGGTAAACCCAGCCTGGTTCCCGTTTCCTGGACAGGCTACGGCTCCCCCGCCAACCTGAACTGGAAGAAGCAGCTGGCAAATGGGTGGAAAGATGGAATTTATCAGTCACACCTGGATACAAACAGAATTTTAGTAAATTGTGATTGAACAACAGCTTCACAAAGCTATTTCTGCGGTTCCCTTGGAGTAACAGAAGTGAGGCAGGCGATGCATGGGCACGTATTGAAAGCGTATTTTAAGGAAAGCCTGTGATGTTGAAATGCAGAGCAGCGATCTGTAGGCAGACAGCTTTCAACCTTTTCGGAAAAAAACACAGCCGAAAATATGTTCTTCGGAAATAAAAATAATTTTAAATAAAAAGCTCTGTGATTCCTTCTTAACATTTTAATTTGTCCCCAATTCCTTCTCAGCTTGTTTGATTCACAAGAAAAATATTCCAAATGGAAAAATAGGATGAAACATAGTTGAAAAGCTGATAGACAATGAAAGGAAAACATTTGTTCATGATAAAACACACACAAAGGCTAGCTACATACTTACACAGAACATACCTTTATAAATTGCCATTTTGTTGCTGTGGTTTCACATACCAGCTCTTCCATTCATATTCAGGTCTGCAACACACAGAGGAAAATGTCAATAAGATAGGAAATAGCTGATAATAAATAATCCAATGCAGGAAGCCACAGTATTTACACAACGTAGCATATCATAACATTAACATAGCACATCATAACATTGCCTCTTAGAAATGTAACAATGCAGAACCGTCTTAGAAATAAGCTAGATATACAGCATATTAGTCAACCTCTTTCGTAGTCTTTTATTCATTAAAGGAATGATCTATACTCGTGTCGACTGGTCTGTGAAGGCCTCCTTCAAGATTCTACTGACCTTCTGTTTTCTTCTGTCCTCATCTGGACTCGAACGGGTTTCATCCTGCGATTTTACAGGAGGGATTCGTTTGGTTGTTTTCTTAACTACTGGGATTTAGTCGATTGTTTCCACATTCCAGGGCTGGCTCTTTCTAGGTTTGTGTGTCCAGCCTACTGTCATTTCCTTCGCTCTTACACCACTCTCACATACTCATCCTGAATGTGTTCGAACCCGTTCATTCACTTTATATCACTTCATGTTATATTCCAAACACGCATCTTTCTGTGTGTCACGGGGTCATCTGTATCTGTTTTTGTGTGTGTGTCTGCACTCATATACTGTAGCTATCACATCGGCTGGGGTCTTTCCCTGTTGGATAGCAGCTCTTCTGTTGGTTGAAAATTACTGTGAGTATGTCATTGGTGAATCATATATATTCCATATATATTATTTTTAAATAGAGAACAACATTTATACGCGATGTGGAGAAGCAAAAACTTTCAGCATGAGCAAAATATTTTACCAACAGGGCACTAGAGGGCAGCAGAGTAAGGGAAACAATGCTCGGACCTGTTCTGTAGAAGCGTCAACTTGGGGAAAGTCATTTGTGGATTCTATATATATCATAATATTCTGATTATTGTGTAATGAATACAAAGTAAATCACTCTTTAAAAGCTGGTATCTGGTACACTCTACAGCTTATATATATTCTTAATTCACCCACAAGAAGCATGACGAAAATAATCTAAAAAATCAGTGAAATGTAGTCTTTTTAAGAGGAAAACAGATCCTAATACCATCAGTGATGCATTTTCTGACAGAATTAAGGAGAACTGTGTTTAAATTGTAGCGAAATTGTACTTTCATGGATTCTGTTCAACTGTGTGCAACTTCTTTGTTTTTTTTTTGCCCAGTTTTCCCTCTGTTAAGCAACACAGCAACATCAAAACCTCCCATCAGCCATACACTTCAAGTGTCTGCTTTTAATTTCTGCTAATCCTCTTACATTCAGTACTCACATGTTCACTCCTTTTACTATTTATATATACCTGAGCTGATTTGACATGTACTATGTTATTTATCTTTTTTCCTTTTTAAATCACCCAGCCGAATGTTTCAGTGTCGTCCTTTGGACTTCTGTAGCAGCAGAACAGGGCGTAATACTGCTGGGGAGTCACTCATGGAGCAGGGAAATAATGGCTTCACTGCTATTTCGTGGAAATTAAAAAAAAAATCTGCTTATGAAATGCCTCCCCCTAAAAGTGTCTGAAAATCAAACCCCCGCAGAATTTTTTAGTCACATTTTTTTTTGCGTAAGGTATCTGAATGTATTCTATTTCCTAGTTTCATGTCACTTACATATTTGAGTATTACCTCTGACAATGACTTTATTTTAGCTTTATTGTGACCACTAACATTTACTAATTTAATACATTTGACTTCCCACAGCTTCAGATGTCTTTATTAGGTATTGAAATAGAAGGCTACTAAAGAGCGATAAACCCAGTCTAAAACATACATCGTTTTCTAAGTTTCACACACATTAAATGCAGAACACGAGACGTCTCTTGCTAATGGCAAGAGAATTGAATTGACAGGCTGAGTGGTACTTAGCAGGAAACTGCGATAAAAGAAATGCCAGTGCTGACTCATCTCTTTCCAGCTCTGTGAAATTCAGATGGCTTTTTTCTTTCACAAAATATAATCTACAAGATTTTTCAGGTTTGCTGGACATGCAGCATAGCAAAATTAAATAGTGTTTATTCTTTTAAACAATTGAAATACTGTATACCACACACGTTTATTTCATTTTATTATATTTACATAGACACACACATATACTGTACAGTATATTTACTGTATGAATGCTTTAGAGAAAGATGTATTCCCCTTTGATTATGCACTATACATGGTGATTTTGTATATATTAAGAAATGTTGATATACTTGTAGAAAATATGAAAGCATGTCCTTCACAGAGAGGTCTCAATATAAAACAGGAAATTAAGCAAAGGATAAGATGTGTATATCCCTCAAGACAAAGGCCTTCAAGCAATGAATACTGGTTATACTGTACAGGTAGATGCATGCAATATACAAGTCCAGACAGCTCCAAGTAAGTTTGGCAAATATATCCTTATAATAATCAAGACAGACAGCAAGAAAGAGCTGTGCGTTACTGTAGGTCAGAAACAAAAGAGGCTGCGATGTCTGGGACCACAGGAGTGGAGGAATGGGGATGACAGGGAGCAGGAATCTGAGTAGGTGGGTGATATAGTTCAGTAGTAAAGAAAGGAATAGTGGAGGTGTGACCTACAGGAGAAGTGACCGACAGTAGGATCCAATAGAGAAATGTGCTGTCATTGACAGAGCTTGCTAGGTGAGCTGGATGAGCTAGGTCTTCATCCCATAATGCATTAACAACGACTAGTGATGATTTGTGAAGGTCAGATGTTTTTTTTTTAATACATGGACAGTTAAATACAGGTGGTCTAAAATACTTAAAAGAAAACATTTGTTTTAAGAAAGCTAGAAAGACAAAATAAATAAAGTTTTCATTAATGATCAAAGAACAATTTTTTATAAATTGTTATCAAAACAAACCAGATATCTTCCTCTTGAATTCCTAGAAGTTGTGTGATATAACTGGTAACATCCTAGACCACTCTTTAATTGGTGTGGGTTTTAAATAGGGGTAATTACTCACAAAATAAATGGACTTTTTGCCTGGACAATGAGAATGTATCATCCCTCACATTCACTTGCCTCTTAGCCAACCAATTAGCCCGGCCAAGGCAGCCCATTAATGTGGCATTTTATATGTCTGTAACCTATAAAATTGTACAAAGGTTCTACACAGTTATCAAAATATATGAAAAATCAGAGAAACTTTTAAGACTGAACATTATATTTAATTTGTACCACAACAGAAATACACTCATTGCCTTGGGATAAGCATGCACATTTAAATTTGTAGATTTCTGCATCTGATTGGCTTTTAATACAGCCCCAAGATATTTCTTGCTAAGGCGTTGATGTGACCCCATATAAATTAAAAATGAGGGCTCATATCTCCAGATTTTCCACTCTAGGAACCTGTTCTAGAAAAACAAAACACAAAACTCTCAATTTTTTTTTTATTCCAGTATGAAATATCTCATCTGGTGTTATTTGAATTTGCATTTGAATTTTCATATAATGGTAAATAGCCTTTACATACAATATGGAACTAATTAGTGTGTCCTCTTGCATAACAAATTATGATAAGTCATCTTCTGAGGTTAATCAGCTGTGTCCAGTCAATGGCTTCTGCTTCCATTAAAATGTATTATTCCAATAAAGCCTGCAAATGAATTCTGACGTCTGAAAAAGGTATGATTTCCAATGGCACTTGATGATAGAATTATTGGCATTTGCTTTGTGACTTTGTGTGGCACTGAATAGCAAGTGTTCTCAAAGAGGAAGAATAAAATGGTACAGTATAACAGAAAAAAGCTACTTTTTAGAAAAGCAGTATTCAATTCGAAAGTCCCTTATGTTGAGCTATTATTTTAAACTACATTTTGCTTCAATAAACACAATTTAATATGCTTTCTGAAACAAATCATTAGGGCATTTCTGGTGCTTTACCATATGCTCAGGTTGCTAATGTTTCAGCTTTTAAATAAAAGGACTGTTCGACAAGCAGTATCCATTTCTTACTTTTCCGGGTTGTTTAATATGATATATAAATGCTATTTTGATAATGTAAAGCTTTCTCTTATTGATTATGACCAATAATACACAGTTATGCAGAGATGGGTCTGCTTTACCTTGAGAAAAATATTTGTAAAACATGCTGTTGTCTGCACAATTAAAAAGAAAACCCAGAGACCTTCAGGTTAAGAATCTGTTTTTCAGTCAAACAAAACGTTTTTAAAAGACCAAGAAAAAAAACATACAATTATAAACTCCTTTCATGTTGGCATTGCTACAGGTAAGCAATACAGATCCACTCACTTCATATTATGAGAAAGATCACTCTCAGGAACCCTTTTATCTTTATGAACAGCACTTGATGTGAGCTGGGCAAGGCAACATTTACAAGAACAATTTAATTTCCAAACATGAGTCCATAAGTAGCATGTATTCAGAAAAGCTTACACTTTTAGATCACTCATTTTTTTAACATACCACACATAGCACTTGAGGAACGTTTTGAACTGTAACTGGAGGTAAGTGAATGTTACTTCTGATGCCACAATTCAAAATCAATTTCAGTGATTTTAAAATATCATCATCCTTTTTCAAACCACTGTTGGACAAAGACCCCAGTCCACGAAACATTAATTTTATCTTCCACAAGGCCAATCTGTTCTCACATCACCTTTGTTATCATGGTCTTTTCTGAAGATTTCTGGTATGATTAGTATTTTATCCAAAAAAAACTTACAAAACATTTTAAAACAATAAGAATGACCTATTTTACCCATGAAGTCATCAGTTTATGCTGTGTGCTCCTGGAATTACCCACAAGCCTCTGGGCAGGATTCTAGACTTCTAAACACTTCTTTACCTTTTCTCTGGCTCTTTACCATCACCACAAGGTGCTCGAATTTAAGGTTTTTTTATGTCTTTGTTAGATTTTGTTTGGGTTCCATTCCTGTTTGCTTTGTACAGAAACCTGAGGTATCTGATGGTGTCAAGTATTGAATTTTGATCAATACAAACCAGAAGAAAAAAATATCCTGAGAGGGAGGTGTAGATAAAGATAACTGCATTGTTGGATATGGGTCTTATTTTTTTGGACAATCCTCATTACCAGTTGAAATCTAACACTTACCTTACCTGCAGAAGCCAATGTACTACTTTCTTATTTTAAAACAGTACAATTAAGGGAATGTGCTACAGGTTTAGCTTTGGTTCACTAGCTGTGTGCAGTCTGTGGGGTTGAACTGCTTGCTACTGCAATCCTTTATGTCGTTTCTGACAGAGCACCAGAAGAGGCTTCTGAAGTCAGCCACTGATCGATGATGATCCTTCTGTTTGTGCTGCAGAGAATCCAAGGTTTGATGATTTCTTTGAAATTTTGGGTTCACCCGTAATGATTTTTCTCTGGGCCTGTTTTATTGCTTATAGCTGAAAGTTGAATTTGTGGTGCTTACTTTCAACAGTTATACTAACTGTATATCCTTACCAGCTCAGTATGTGACTGATTCATTCCATCTTATTTTATGCAAAACCTTGTTTCCAGAGGATGTTTGCAATTTAAATTTTTTTTCATCTAACAATGGGGACATCAGCATCTGCTTTCAATAATACATTTTGAAAGGACTTG